GAGGTCATAATGCATGAAATTGGATAATGGCGTGTGAGCAAAGCTAAATGCAACTATGATGCTAACGAACATTTGCATAAGTAATTACATAAAATAGCCACTATGGAAGACTTTGACCTAAAAGTGTCTACTATTATACAATACTACAAAAATATATCCACTAGTATTTTATATGGTATGTATTATTCCGTGTTTGCCCTTGTTAACTGTTTTTTTTTTTTTTTTTTTTTTTTTTTTTTTTTTGCGTTTTTGACTTCCCTTTTTTGGTTCAGTTAATTGGTTTGTGATTAATTCATCAATCTAATTATTGATTGTGTTTTTTAAATAACCAGTTTTCCCTCTCAGTTTGAAAAACCTGATAGCCTTGACATCAAACGGAAAAGATAGAGGGAGAAAAAAAGTTTATCGTGATTTGTGAGTGTTTTGTACCCAGTTTTTTTTTTTTATCCAATTGCTCCGGAAGGTGAAGATTTGTTTGTGGTTTGTTTCCCTCTCAATAGTCAAGGTTGGTTTTGGTGTGGTTACTGGTTGGTGTGTTTCCCGCTCGATAGACAATTTTGGTTTTTGTGGTTGGTTTCAATTTTTTCATTAATTTACATGTTACTATAATGGGAGTTGTAATATGTTTGATGTTTGATTTTGGTGTGTTCGCTATTTTCATTTCATTTAATTTGATTAGGAACGTCTGTTGTTGTTGTTGTTGTCTTTTGTTTTTTGTTTTTATTTGGTTTGGATATGTTGATTTTGATAAGCCCGTTGGATGTCTGTTGTTGTTTTTATTATATTGCAAACTGCCATTGTCATTTCTGTTCATAATGATGTTATCATTACCATAATGAAACAACGCGTTAATTTCCTATTTTATTTGTGTACATCATTACGTATGACAATTTTTATTTTGTTATATTCATTTTTGTTGATGAAGATATGATCATTATAATAACGAAATATATTTTCTGTTATTGTGTTTCATTTATGTATAGTTTTACGTTTTCATGATCCAACTTATCTTAGTCATTTTCTTAATGAATAAGTTCATATTGTTATATTCATTCTTAATGAAATGATCATTGCAACAATGAAATATCGTTTTCATTCTTGTGTTTGTTTATGATGGTAGTTCCGTTATAATAATGGAAATGTTTATTGTTTAATACTTTTTTGTATTTATGTTGTAGTACAAGTTTTGTTTCTTTATGAAAGTGTCATTAACTTAATGATAATGAATTTCGATTTGTGTATATCATTACGTTTTTCATTATTTTACTTATGAAAGTTGTTTTCATAATGGCGATTTTCATTTTGTTATATTCTTTCTTATTGATAAATATATAATCATTACAATGATGAGACATCTTTTATATTATTGTGCCTCATTTGTGTACATTTTTACATTTTTCATTATTTAACTTATGTTAGTCATTTTCGTAATGAGGATTTTCATATTGTTATATTCATTTTTAATCATAATGATATGATCATTACAATAATGAAATATCGTTAATTCTTGTGTTTCATTATGTATATTGACTTTGATTTTCATTTTCATAATTTCTAGGTTTTTTGGACGAGAAACGCAGTAAAATGGTGTCCTATGTTTTTGTGTGTTTCAAAATGATAATTGAGGAAAAAAGGGGCGCATTTATTTATTTATTTTAATTATTTTTTTGAAAGCTTTCTCCTTTCTAAATAAGGTAGGATTCATTAAATGTAATTTTCTTAGATTTTGTCTGACTTCATATAAAATCATATACTTTATATTAGGATTTTCTTTAAAGTTTTCCTATTTTGATGTTTCATTATTTTTATACTTTTTTTCATTATGTGAGGATATTATTGTCTTTGTATGTATGATAGTAAATAGTTTTGTAAATAAATGGAATAGTGGACACTTCAGTGTGCTATTAGTGGCCATTTATGTAGATAACCCAACATTGGCATATCCCTTGGGCTGTGGTTCTTTTTCTCAATGGGATCCATTTCTCACAAGTTGATGAAAGCTTGGGCTTTGAACATGGTAGACTAGGATAATATCTCAATTTTTTTTTTCGGAAATAGTAGGAAATAGCCAATATGAAAAGCTTAAAAAAGTATATAGGTCAATTTTTAGTTATAAAAATTAATAGGCCATAATTTGTCAAGTTATGGTTCATAACTATATAAGTTATGGACAAACTTGTCAAGTTATGGTTCATATAAGTTATTAACAAAAATCGTGAATTATGGACAATAACTTATCAAGTTATGGTTCATGACCAGACAAGTTATGGACGAAAACAGTAATTTGACTTATTTATTAACTTATGTAAATTATTGGCATATTAATTTTAATTCATCTCAAGTCTTGGCCTATTTCCCTATTTCTCCCCCCCTTTTTTTTTTGGTTTACAAAAAAAAAAAAAAAAAAAAAAAAAAAAAAACAAAATCTCCTGACTCTCTTTCTTTGATGCAAAGTTTCTACCAGAATTTAGAGAGAGTTCATTTCTGGACAAATGTTGATATGGCTATGCCCATGCAGCCCAAAAAGATTCGTACCTATATCCATGAGTCAGAAAAAAAAACTCCAAAGATAGAAACAGGAAATCTGCTCTCTGCTAACTTAATTTTAGTGTAGTGCCCTAATACGTCTCTCTCTTAAAATCCTGCCTCTTGTAATATAGTATATAAAGAAAAAAAAAGTGTTTATAAATGGATATAAATCTTTATATCCTCACTACTCTACATCTCCTGGCTTATTTTTATCTAAGCAAGGTCCTTTAAAAAAAAGATTGGGCAAGATAAATTGCTGAACTTACTCTTAGAGTGCATGAATTTGACGCTTGATTAATACCATTTTGACTAATATAGCTGTTGACAGTGAAATTTCATCAACAAAAATATACTAGATTACCGCTTAGTAATCGGTTAGATTACCGGCCAAACCGCGTGTTAATGAATACTCTATATCCGGTTAAATCTCTATTAGTAAAGTGTAATTATTCGTGTATGGGTTTTATGGATGTTCAAAATATGAATGAAACGTAATGAAATGAGAAGAACACCATAAATTATAATGGTTCACTCTTAATGCAAGAGCTATGTTCATTTTAAGAAATTTCTCTCTTTCTTCCTTCTTTTTTACAAGGGGCTCAGTTCTCTCAAATGATCCTCTCTCTCTCTCTGGGTTCTTGCCCCTTTTATATCTCACAGATTACATATTAGAGAAAATCAAGGCAAATGGTTACCCCGCGGTTGCTCTCAAGTAGCCTATTATCCTACTCAACTAGACTGCAGTTATACAATACTTTTCTGACCGTTTGTCTACCTACCATGCCCAAAATTGCGGCCATGTGACTTCCCATTGGTCCGTTTTGGGTGGCTAGCAAGTTAATAATAATTTTTCCTACCACTGACTTTGTTTATGCCCGCAAGTAACCTAGGGATTTCTCTCCTGTCGCCTCAGGGCTATTCTTGGGATCTGGGTCAGATGACTGAACACGCTACCCTCTCTGCTTTCGCTAGGCCTGAGCAGCAAGTCCAGATAGAGCCTTCGTCCTCGTCAATCCTTGCATGGCATCGTCGGTCTACAAGATTTTGGAACCATCTCCGTCTTAACTGTTTGATCGGTCGACCGCCATCGTGGGTGTTGCTCACTACAAGCTTGCTGTTATTCAACGTTTCTTCAAGGATTATTTTCAAAGGCCCTGGGGTGTTCGACCATTCTCTCATTACCACAAGCATTTATCTTTGAAACAGCTGAGCTTTAATCAGGTGAAAAGCCGATCCTTCGACCGTTAACGCCTGTCTGCTGTCTTAAGTGACATGACAATGGCCACATGGAGCCTATTTATTGTTTGACGTGGCAATGTGAATTTTCCCTTACAATAATAGCTATTTGACTAAAGAGGATGTTGATGTTCAAATCTGACACAACACCACGTGAGGCTGCGCACGGTGGTCGGACACACCTCGCCATTATTGGTTAGATGTCTGGAACTACTCTGTTTGAGAGCATAACGGGGTTATCATGCAAGAATAAAAGTAAAAGGTTGAGAGGTCTCGGGGCACTGGTGTGGTGCCGACCAATGACTCTCTGATGCTCAAGTCATTGTTCTACTCCAAACAACAGAAGGAAAAGGCAGAGTAAGGTGAGAAAATTGTCCGTAACTCAATAAATGATCAAGGGGTATTTATAGTTTGTTGTTGGATCAGGTTCAAGCCCACAACTTACCTGATGCCCTACAGTGCAGCCGAACAGCCTTGTTAAGGGTGGCTCTAGGTGTCACCAATCCACGCTGGTCGTACAATATTATGAATGGACGGTATAGATGATCTCTCATAGATAATTACGCGTGTGACATTCTCCCTAGTTCTTGTTCGGCACACTGGAGTTCAAGGACAGTTTAAGGAGATCTGCTGAGGTAGGATCTTGGTGGCGAGCAGAATAAGAGATAACCACGATTTGTTCAACAAAGAGACTGGAGGTTAATCATCGGCCGAAAACTCATCAACTCTTATATGGCGGTGAAGTGATCGGATGATAGGCCCAAGTGGTCGTCAAACATGTGCCTATCAGGACACTAATAGAGGATATTAATTAAGAGTAAATGATAAAAATCTGTATTACGAGGAGAATCTCTCCTTTCCCCCAGATTATAGATGATTCATTCCTTACGTGGTCTTGGACCAGCCCAAATATTGGAACTTCGTCTTATCAATACAACATTGTTTCCCAATTCTCATTTAGGAAAAGAAAACGACATTCTCTCTCGGTAAAACGACAATCACTTAACAGTCTCTAGACGCTCCTAGCAATAGCGTAGTGTCTTTTTTTTTTTTGACTGATGATTTGCAAGAGCGACGTGGCACCTCCGCGAATGGCCTGTCCCTTTTAACGCAACAGAAAAAGTGCTGGACGGCGTCGTCTCTTTAATTTCCCAAACATGTCCTTACTCGTCGTACTCCCCCCTCCTCATATAACAACAGAAACGGATAAACGAAAGAAAAAACATTTCCACAGAACCCAAATTGGAAATTTCCCGATTTCTCTACTTTTTTATTTTTTTTATTTTTTTCACTCCATTTCCCTATTCTAAAGATTGTTAAAATCTCCCATCCCATCGCCATGCCGATCGCCTCCATTTCCATCCTCCGCCACCGCGCTGCCGTTCACACCGGCTCTCTTCCGGCCTTGACCAGCGTCCTCCGCCGCCTCGGAGCCGTCCGGTGCCTCTCGATCACCGCTGCCAAGCAGCCTCAGAACCCGGACAGCGTCTCGAAGAAGCTCCAGCAGCCGAGCAAGAAGCTTCTCAGAGCCAAACAGACTTTGAAGGACTACTACTCCCTCTCGCCGGAGCTCTCCCTTGACGACAATCCCCTTCTCTCCGAGGACCAAGCCGTCGGCACCGTCGCCGCCGCCCAGGCCAACTTCATGCGCGTCATCGTCCAGCCCCGCCCTGCCGAGGAACCTTCTGGAAACTTCGACGCCGAGAGTGCGGGCGATTCTTCTAGAATCGGAGTTGAGCTTCTGTGCGTGGTGAGGGCGGTGCTGAAGAAGATAAGGAGGAGAGTTCTGGTTGGGGACAAGGTCGTGGTAGGGGCCATTGATTGGGTGGACCGTAGAGGAGTGATCGAGAACGTGTTTCAGAGGAAGTCCGAGATCCTCGACCCTCCCGTGGCGAATGTGGACCATCTTCTCGTTCTCTTCTCCATGGATCAGCCGAAGCCCGAGCCTTTCACGCTTACTAGGTTTTTGGTTGAGGCCGAGTCCACTGGGATTCCTCTCACCCTCGCTTTGAACAAATCGGAGCTTGTTGACGAAGAGGTTAGCTACTTTTCAATTGTTACTTTCTACGCTATTACAATTCTTGTTTCTGGTCTGCATTTGATTTGAATAACTCTGAGGATTAGATGCATAGCTTATGTGGATATGTTTTGGATCAGCTGAAGCTTTACTAGGATTAGTTTGATCACTATGGTAGTGCTTTTGAAAATATAGTACTTCTACTCTGTGGAATCTTTGGTTTATTCTGCTCAAGTAAGCTTTAAGCTTGATTCTTAGAAGGTTATCACGTTTAAATGTGTCTTTTTTAATTATGTTGTAATCAGAATGGGAAAAGAGTACCTGAATAGTGTTAGAATTAGAATATGCGTAGTGGTATGACGGGGTTTCTGAATTCGGTTACTCTTATTGGAGTTTTCTTGGGGTCCTATTGTTTTATTGCATACCAAATCAATCCATCTTTTATTTGCCCAACATTGTATCTCGACTATGAGGAACATATTAGGTGATAAGCGTCGAACTCTGCGTGGTGGTTGTCAATATTAGCTCTTAAATTGGTGGCCGATGATGGAATATGCAGGCAATGATTTCATGGAAGACCAGACTAAGCAGCTGGGGCTATGAACCAATCTTGTGCAGTGTTGAATCCAAACATGGACTCGATACCCTTGCATTTATTTTGAGAGACCAAACAACTGTTATTGTAGGTCCAAGTGGAGTTGGAAAGTCTAGTCTGATCAATGCTCTAAGAAATGACCAGCTTGCTCCACGTGATGCGGAAGATAATTGGTTTGACTCTGTGAGTTTTGATTGCTTTTGTGATTCTTTTGTTTTCATATTACTTGTTTTCACAGGTGAATGCTGCTATTGGATTTTCAACGTTTTTATGTACTTTACTTTCTATTTTGCAGATCTTAGGCAGTAAATGCTTTGAGGAGCAACGAGTTGGGGAAGTTTCAAGAAGAAGTGGCAGAGGGAAGCATACTACTCGTAATGTTGCTTTACTTCCGTTATCTGGAGGGGGTTGTCTTGCTGATACGCCGGGGTTTAACCAGCCTAGTCTGTTGAAAGTAACAAAGCAGTCTCTAGCACAAGCTTTCCCAGAGGTTTGCTTGCTTTAGCACTACATTTATCACTTTGGTTTCTTTTGCCTCACATTCTTGGCATGAGTTAAAATATTCCTTTTTTGACTGACACGTTGTCTATTTCCTCTTCAGATTCAGAAAATTCTTAATGCCAGCGAGCCTGCAAAATGTTCATTCAATGATTGCTTACATCTAGGTGAACCAGGATGCATTGTCAAAGGGGGCTGGGAAAGATACCCGTATTATTTTCAGCTTCTTGATGAGATAAGAATCAGGGAAGAATTTCAGTTAAGGACGTTTGGAACCAAAAAAGAGGGTAATGTAAGGTATGTTCAACCTATTCAAGGGTTGAGTTTTACAAATATTGACAATGTTGTTTCTCTGTTTGTATTTTTTTAATTTGCTTGATTCAATTTGTAAGCACTTGATAATTGCAAAATGTTTCTTAAAATTCTTGAACTCCCTAGGGATGACATAGGTCAGAGATGTTGTTTCCTTATGTTATAGTTTTCATACTTCATCGCTTAGATTAATTAAATTACTGAATCTCAGTTGCCTCGCATCTTTTGCAGGTACAAGGTGGGAGATGGTGGGGTTCAACAAGCTGAACCAAGGTTGGAAATTAAGAAGCATAGGAGACAATCTCGTAAGAGACTGAACCAGTCCATCCTTGATGAACTAAGTGACCTGGATGATGAGGACGACAGTGATAAAATCGCAGGCTATATTGGGAATGAGGACCGGTAGTTTGTTCGTCAAAGCATTGTAAATAGTTAATATAACCCCCTTTTGTTTAGAGAAAGGAATGTCAACCCGAACTTATCCCATAAAGACATCTCAACTGATCTGCCATGTACTGTTTCCTGGTGGAATGGAAACACAATTTTTGTACGTTTGCAGTATATTCAACACTAAAAAGTGATTTCAGAGGTCGTCATATCGCGCTTGAATTTCATATTCTCTCTCCTGCATACTGCATATACATCCGAAACAACGTTAACTTTTCCCTTGGCTATCTAGTCGCTGGAAAATGTTATGTAATCCAAGTCCTACAATTCCTAATCAAAACCTTCTCCTCTTAAGTCACGGACCTAACTTAAAGGCCTTAGTCTTTCTAAAAAGCGTTTTTAATCTATAAACATTCATACGGGACATAAATAAAAAAAAGGGGGGCTTATACGGCTAGGGAGAGCCCATCGGTTACTGGCTGTCGTACCACCAAACTGCGTCTCAAAGTAACAAATGACCCTATATTTTAACACAAACAACTACAAGGGGAGTTATAAACCGAGAAATTCGCATGCCTACTACAAGGCTTTTCCCTCTACAAAGAGGCTATCAAATCAACCACCTACAACAGGCGACATTCTCTTCTGGGGCAACCTAAAATGGACCAAAACCATTATTCTAAAACCTTTTGCACAACAACTATACTAATTGTAGCGCATCCTTTTGTCAGCCATTTTGTGCGTTGGAGTACCAACAACGTTCTGTTTTACATAAAAACACGCATTTGATTGTTCCATCAAACAATTTGGCAGGCTAAACCACAATCCAAAATTTGCCCAAAAGACAAGATTAGGGGGATTAAGCAGGGCCTTTGAGAATCAACCAAGACATAAAACAACTGAAATCGGCAATTATACTCCAAGTCATTCTCTTAAGAAGGAAAAGTTTAAGACAGTACACTATAGTAAGCAGTATCCACTGATGTTCTTTTTTTAGCAGAGACACATCACAAACCATGAATTAAAACCCACGAAAATGCTAAGGTCAGTTTTCCTTTTCTTATTATGATCAACTCAAAAACAGACCTATTTCTTAGAGGATTTCTTCTTGGAAGTGACGGGCTGTTGGCGCTGGGGCTTGGGATGCTTCTCGGCCTCGCTGGGGTCCAACCACTTGAGAGGGTGGCGATTGAAGAAAGGCCAATTGGGGATGGTGATCAACGTGGTGAGCACCACACCGCCGGCGTATATCAGAACCATCGTCTGGAAAGATCCTAACACATAGCCCGTCGCAAATCCCACCACTGCGAATGCCAATAGCATTATCTGCATCAGCTGCTCCGCGAGCTTTTGCCCCTGCCAATCCATCTGAAGAAAGAGGGGGAAAAAAAAAGATTCAGAATTGTTGACGCAAATAACCAAACCCTAGATCGCCGATCGCGATAAGGAGATTCTGATTAACGACAGCTGGAATAGTGATTATTGCGCCTGTTCGGTATGGCGAAAAAAAAAAGGAAGGTTAATTTCATAGAAATTGTTTCGTTTCTCGGGAACCAAACAGAAAATGTTAGGGTTCGGTTTTCGTTTCGCGGTTTAAACTAGTCGACTTTAACCAAACGTGAAGAAAACGCAAAATTGGTCAGCGAAAGATGTAAGAAATGGGAGTCCATTGAAGCTTTTGGCACTAGAAATCACGATGAACTTGGCGAGAGAGAAAGAGATGGAGATAAAGATTGCGTACCTTACCAGTCTCTGAAGAAGGCGAGCTCTGAAATCGCGACGATAGGCAGAGGTGAAAAAAGAAGAGCTTTTCGCTTTGGCAGAAGTGCAGTGATGTAGAATTATATTTGGTCAGGTGGCTCTTCTCCTAGAGTTCTATTTAAAATTAATTCTAACAAAATAAATAAAAAATAATTCCCAGGAAATAAATAAATTCATTAATGGGTGGAACTGCTCATTGGTGGATTTGTGGTAAGAAATCACAATGAACTTGGCGAGAGAGAAAGAGATGGAGATAAAGATTGCGTACCTTACCAGTAGTCTGTGAAGAAGGCGAGCTCTGAAATCGCAACGATAGGCAGAGGTGAAAAAAGAAGAGCTTTTCGCTTTGGCAGAAGTGCAGTGATGTAGAATTATATTTGGTCAGGTGGCTCTTCTCCTAGAGTTCTATTTAAAATTAATTCTAACAAAACAAATAAAAAATAATTCCCAGGAAATAAATAAATTCATTAATGGGTGGAACTGCTCATTGGTGGATTTGTGGTAGATCGAAGCACCACTTTCTTTTTATTTTTTGTTTTTATTTCTTTTTTACACCACTTACAAATAAAAAAAGAAACCCACAGTATGAGATTTGTAGATAAAATTAACTTCAATTACTCAAGCATTTTTTTTAGGCCAAAAAAGCTTACGAAATCTTTCTTAAACCAGAATGTGTTTTTTTTCCCGTCGTACTTAAAAGGTAATTATGCAAGTCACAAAACAGAAAAAGTATCATATAAGGATTATTTTTAAATTATTAATGGCTTATTCATTTATATTTTTTTGAGTTAGTGTGATTTAAATTCAGATTTTAATTTGAATTAAGATGTAGTAAAGTATGATTTGAGTTAAGACTCTAAAATTTGAGTTTATATTTGTATCTCAATTCAAACACAAACTCAAATAAAATTTGAGTTAAGATTTTTAAAAATCTATTTGAGTCTATGTTTGAGTATGTCAAAATTTAAATTTATATTTAAATAATATTTTAATGAAAAATTCAATAGTGATAAAAAAATTTATTAAGATATATAGATGAGATTTTATTTATCTTTTGAATACATAAAAAAAAATCATTTCAATCGAAATTAAAACGAAAAAATTATAACGTTTTTAAGAATAAAAAAAATATTGTTCATTAATTGAGTTTTAATTTAAAAACTTAAGTTCAAAAAAAAAATTTAACTTAAATTTTAACCTTCAACTCAAGTTAAAACTAAGTTGAAATTCAAATTTTACAAAAACACATGAACTTAAATAAGATTATAATTTGAGTTTAAATCTTTTTAAAAATTTGAGTGCAGAAGCCCTAACTGATTCGCTTCTTAGAATCAACTTAAGCAGGTAAATCTAAACCAATATTAATAATAACTCATAACATCAATTAATTATTTTTCGTACCCACCGGAAAATTTCCCGTCATTAGTCCTTCGTAGTTCATCTATTTATTTCAGATCTCTACTCTCAAGAAGGATAAAAATAAATATGGCTTTATATGCTTTTGATGTTACAGATCAAAAGTCCCAGATGCGCCTTGCTCCATGGCTAGCATGCAAAAATGCTACATAGACCAATAAGTTAGAAGAGTGAAATGGATTTTCCGTTCTATTATCAGCTGGAGAAAAAATCAAACCATTAAAAAAAAAAGAGAAATGATTACGACCTAGTAAGCAATTCAAAATTTCAAATAAAAACTGTAGAAAGTTGAAAAACTGTGACATATATGTAAAGACTAGAATTGGCTAACAACCAAAAATTCAGCAAAAATACTCGGATAACATCAAGCTAAACATAATTTGGAACAAAACATGATGTCTGAATCGTCTACATGATATTTCATGCTATGAAACGCAACAAAAACTCCACGAGCGAAAGACATGAAAAATGTGAGAAGCCTTCAATTAGTCGAACTGAACAAATGGAACTCATGAAGAAGCACCACTGCGCAGAGCCGAAGATTTCTTCGATTTGCTAGTTGCCAATTGGGTCTCAGGCTGCAAAAGAAAGAAGAGGTTAAGGCAACCAAGCACGACATTTTTTAGTACATAAGAATTATATAACTATATAAACCATCACCAAAGTACCTCTTTCTTAACAGGCTCTTCCTTCTCAGACAAGATCAACTCAATATGGCAGGGAGATGACATATAAGCTGGCAGAAATTACGCTATTTAAGTTGGTGCAAATTCAAAGGCATAACCAAAAATCAAATACTAGTACAGCATTTGAGACATACGGTTGATTCTTCCATGAGCACGGTAGGTACGACGCCTTTGCTTCTGCGCTTGGTTGACCTGGACGTGGGAAATGTAGAGTGAATCGACATCCAAACCCTTAACCTGGAAGATCAATAAAATTATCAGCACCAAGTAACTAAGAACAGATAAAACATTAAAAAGTAAAAAATAAAATGGCCAGAAGATTAGTACCTCAGCATTGCTCTCAGCATTCTTGAGCAAATCAAGAATGAATCTTGCAGACTTCACTGGCCAACGACCTTGCCCATTGGAATGCCTGTTTTTCGCCTGTGCGGTACGCCCGACACCACCACAGAATCGTCTGAATGGTATGGCTTGTTTGTGGGCCAAAACATCCTCCAAGTATGTCTTTGCCTTGGTCAAGGGCAGCTTTCTAATGGCAAAGGCAGTTTCCCGAGTGTTCTGTAAATGACCATACATATGGAATATGTTAAACATAAACCCTAACCTATCTTTGGAAACTCATCAACAAAGTTTAAAGATAAGCGGGGGGAAAAAAAGTTCCTAAAACAAAAATAAGATGTCCAAAAAGGAAAATAATAGAAAAATTAATTTGACGCAAATGTGTCAACATTACTGACCCACACCAACCAGAGAAAACTACAGAAGTTAACCAATAACCTGTTAATAAGTTTTATGATGAGAAGAGCCGGGTTCACATTAGCAAAACAAGGACGTGCAGTTGAAAAGTATAAAAATATTAAGTCATTAATTACTTTACAAAACTGCAGATTATAGTGTGGTAAAGAGTCATGCAAAAAAAAAAAAAAAAACAAAAAAATACAAAGGAAGGACAAAAAGTTCAACAAAAAAAAATGATTTGAACACAAATGTGCCATTGTTACAGACCCATTCCAGTCACAGGAAACTACTGAGGCTGACCAGACTACAGGGCTGATTACGTTGACCAATAACAATGGAAGTACATTTCACTTATGTAAATAAAGAGCTGAATTCACACGAGGGGCAATACGCCTGGCTACAGTCATCAGGTGCTAAAATATCAAAAGCAATGTATAAGATTTGGGATGAAATGTAACTGGTATTTTTAGTGTAGCTAAAAACCTAGTAATGTACACGAGGACCATATAAAAAAAACAAATATTAGGAAAAACCGGACACCATGCACAGAAACACCAGTACAAAATAAAAAATGCAATAATATGAAAAAAATACAAAAACATGGACACAAATTTGCCATTGTTACAGACCCATTCCAGTCATGGAAAACTACTGAGGCTGACCAAACTACAGGAGGACCAGATTGACCAATAACAATGAAGTAATTTTCCTGATGCAAACAAGCCGGATTCGCAAGAAGCAACACAAGCCGTGAGCGGTGCGTCAGGTTTTAAAATATCCAAAGCAACATTTTAAGATTTGTGATAAAATGAAACTGGTAATTTTTAGTGTGAGAATTATTTCCCCGAGTGTCTGAAATGTCAATTCACAAAGGCAATCGACCCCTACTTTCACTTCTCATCAGATTACAATTTAAAAACGTCAAATAACAAGTCCAAGATGAAAAACTAGGCAACAAGAAAACAAAAAATGTTGCATCATTTACTGAACCTTGAGCCACAGCCCACAAAGAACATGACAAAGGTTCACCCAATAACAAAGCAGAATGATCTCCCTGATGCTTACGAGAGGCCAATATTCACAGAGGCAATAGACCCCTGCTTTTATCACCAGGTTGAAAAATTACAGGCATTCCATCAAAATCTTAACCAGCATTATTAATTAAAAGTTAATTGTTAGCACTTTGTGAATTCAAGGACTAAATTATCAAGAAAGAGACACACAAAGTGCCAAATCACAAAACGATCAAGGAACACAGAAGCTAAAAACAATTAGAAAAACTAAGGAACTACACAAAATGTTGCATCATTTACTGAACCTTAAGCCACAGCCCACAAAGAACATAACAGAGGTTCACCCAATAACAATGCTCAATTGATTTCCCTGACGCTTACGAGAGGCCGATTCACAGAGGGCAATAGACCCCTGCTTTTTTTCATCAGGTTCAACAATCACAAACAAATCTCAAAGAAATGAAAAATAATTCCGCATCTAAAAGAACCAAAGAAACTTCACAACCAAGCAAAGGATCACAAATAATACCTTGAAATGAACTCTGAGGTCGGATCCCCTAGCCTTGCATGCTGAAATCAAATTGGAAAAGGAACCAAAAAAAAAAAACAAATGAATCACAGAACTCAATATCGAATGGGAGATGAAAAGAATCGCAATGAAGAAAAATTGAATGAGAAACTCACACTTGGTGGGATTGTCGGGCTCCCTGGAGTACTTCACCTGAAAATTTCAAAGAAAAAAAATGAAGATTATGAGATTTGAAACCGTGAAGATGAAGAAGATGAACAGATAATGATGAGAGTAAGAGAAGAAATGAGCATTGAAGAAGAGAAGAGGTACCATGGCTGGCGGCTAATGAGAAGGTTGAGCCTCAGTGAAGGTTTATGATTTGCCTCGTCAGAGAAGACGATGGAGGCGGTAGGGTTTGCTCTTATAGAGGGGGTTCAGTGGAAATAAAACCCTAATACTCTTGACCCATGCTTGGGCTTCTATTGGGCTGAATTTTGAAGGCCCGTTATCTATTCCAGACCCAATAAAATATAAAAATTTTAACACCAATAAATAAAAGCTTCGCCTTCGACATTGTTTGATTATTATACCCCTTAATATTTTCTTTTTGATACATTGCTAGCTGATGAATAATACTTAATTTTGCTCTTACAAAAGAAATATATATGTCTATATAATAGTTAAATCTACAATTATTCTTCCTATGATTTTGCTGATTTCGAATTACGAAATATACATTCTTAAGAAAATATCTAAAAATTGATTCCAGTAGTTTTTTTTTTTTTCTTCTTTTAACTAAAGACTAATTCCGGTAGCATAAATACACGATGAAGAGGCTCTGCATGCTGTTTTTTTTTTAAATATATTTATTGTGATTTATTTCCATAAAAACTTGCAGTTAATAGCCTTTCGCTTTTTCTATAGTCTTTTCTTTTAATTTTTTTTCCGAACAAAGGATCATATCATCATACCACGAACCGCTTATCTCAAAATCAGAACATTACGATAAGTATGAAACTAAGGAGGCTCATAGTGACCTCTAAATTATAGAGTAGGGGTCACGCCCCCCAAACGGGGTGGGTGACGTGGAGCTCGATTTTGAATTAATAAAATAAGTTTTCAACCGGGCCCCACACTTAACTGCATTAAAATATGAATAAATTACATTACAGAATCCCGGAGCCTCTGACACACAGGGCTCCACCCCACAGGACATACAGTATCGTACATATATGCTCATGTAAATAATCATTACAACAGACATCAACCACAGTCTAGTAAATCCAAATATTATATAAGTTTATAGAATTTCTCAAATTCCTTACATTTTTCCAAGAGGATGTCCACGATCCTCACTTGATTCCAACAGCAGCACAACTCAGCTGCTCCGTAGCAAATATCCAGCTACTGTGCACCGCTCCTAGAATCTCCTGGGAGGGGTTTAGTAAATTTAAAACATAAAACGTGAGCGAAAGGCCCAGTAGGATATAATTTGAAATAAACGCTATAATAAATATGCGAGGGAATACATAAATGAATAAGTAAATAAAATAAGACATTCAGTCCTGACAAAACAACCGGAACCTCACATCATTTTTCTCAAAGGAAATATAACTGAAAATAACTGTTTTACAGGCTTCAGCAAGTAATTAGTACAAATTACTTACCTAACCAAGTGCCTCGCCTACCCGGACCGAGTTTCAGGTTCTGCCCCCGAGGATGCACTCTCC